CGCGGCAGCGGCGGCAGCAGCAGCAGCAACAGCAGCAGCAGCAACAGCAGCAGCGTAAAAAACAGCACAAAGGGAGGGTTTCAGGCTCTGGTTGACGCGCAGCTGTAGGACGGTCCACTGCGCCTCAAATCCTAAACCCTAAACCCTAAACCCTAAACCTCAAGTCCCATACCGCAAATCCCAAACCCCTAAGCGAAGCGCTGAAGTGGCCCCCAAAACCCTAAATTCTAGACCCTAAAAAACCCTAAACCCTACACCCTAAACCCTAAACCCTACCTTGAGGGCCTGGGAGCCTGCATGAGCCTCTTGCTTTCTTTTTTCGATTTCTTCTTTTCTCTTTCCTTCCAAATCCGTTTCAAACCAATCCAAACATTGCTGCAGCTGCTTCTGCTGCTTCGGCCCCCCCTGCAGCAGCAGCAGCAGCAGCAGCAGCAGCAGCAGAGAGAACATAAGCGTGCTTCGGTTGCCGTTTTTGTCTCTCTTTACCTCACTAAACCCTAAACCCTAAACCCTAAACCCTAAAGGCTTCTAAGGCCTAGTTGCCAAACCCTAGAACTGCCACGCCCTAAACCCTAAACCACAATACTAAAGTTCTAAACCCCCGTAAACCCTATAAACCCTCAAACCCTGAAAGCCCTTCAAACCCTCTAAACCCTTAAAACCCCGCAAACCCTCGAATGGCTCAAACCCTCGAATCCCCTAAACCCTCAAAGTCCCTCAGACCCTCGAACCCCTAAACCCTCAGAAGCCCCAAACCCTCGAAACCCTCAAATCCTCTAAAGCGTGAGCCCCTGAAGAGTTCTGAGTGCGTGGCAACTTGCAAACCCTCGAAACCCTAAACCCTCGAAACCCTAAACCCTAAACCCTAAACCCTGCTGCAGCTGACCAGCAGGCACAGCAGCGCAGTGAGCGCCTGGTTGCAGCGAGTTGCTGCGTCGCTGCTCTTTCCTGCTGCTTCTCGGGCCAGTTTGAAGAGGCAGCAGCACAGCAGCAGCGCCTGCTGCTGCTCCAGCCTGAGCAGCAAACATCGGCACGCCCGCACACTCAAACACAAACCCCAGCAGCAGCAGCAGCAGCAGCAGCAGCAGCAGCAGCGAAGCAGCAGCAGCAGCGGTGGCAGCGGTAGGAGGAGGGGAAGTGGGAGTAGCAGCAGCAGCAGCAGTAGCAGCAGCAGTAGCAGGAGCGACGAGAGTAGCAGGAGGGGGAGTGGGTGGGACAGCAGCAGCAGCAGCAGCAGCAGCAGCAGCAGCGCCAGCAGCAGCAGCAGCGGTGGCAGCGGTAGGAGGAGGGGAAGTGGGAGTAGCAGCAGCAGCAGCAGCAACAACGAGAGTAGCAGGAGGGGGAGTGGGTGGGACAGCAGCAGCAGCAGCAGCAGCAGCAGCAGCGCCAGCAGCAGCAGCAGCAACTTACGGTTTGAATTCGAGGGGTTCTTCGAGGAAAGGTTCTTCTTGCGATGCAGCTTCGAACGCTTCTGCTCCTTCTGTCTTTGCTGCTGCTGCTGCTGCAGCTGCTGCTGCAGCAGCAGCAGCAGCAGCTTGCTGCTTGCGTCTCTCCAGATAGTCTGGAGATGACAGCAGCAGCAGCTTCGTGATGGCAACAGCTAAAGTTGCTGCCAGCAAAGTGTCTCCTCCTACAATTAAGTTCCGCAATGTGCTGCTGCCTGAGCACAAAACACCCAATTCCCTGCTGCTGCTGCTGCTGCTGCTGCTGTTGTTGTTGCTGCTGCTGCTGCACCCGCAGCAGCCAAGACAGCGCCTCCACAGCAGCAAAAGTCAACAAACCACCGCAGCAGCAGCAGCAGCCCCCTCCTTCTCCCCCGCTTCCCCGGCAGCAACCGCAGCAGCAGCAGCAGCAGCAGCAGCAGCAGCAATTGTTGACCTTTAGTGGAGTTTTCTGTCTCCGCCTGAACAACAGTTTCGGTGCCATAAGAGCCGTCAGCCAAAACGATTGTGCGCAGCTGCTGCTGCTGCGTCTCTGCTGCTGCAGCAGCAGCAGCAGCAGCAGCAGCAGCAGAGGCCGCAGCTGCAGCAGCACCAGCAGCAGCAAACACCACCGACAAAAGTTAAATGGCATTTTAATTTAAATTTAAAAAGGATAAATGGATAATTAAACATAAAACAAAAAATCAAAAAGAGAAAAAGACAAAAGCCACCAAAAGAAGATAAGAATAAAAATAGAAAGACAAGAGTAATAAAAAATAAAAAATAAAAAAAACGAAACAAAACAAAAGTAAAGATAAACAAAAAAGAAAAAATATCAAAAAGAAACAAAAGAATAAACAAAAAGAAAAACAAAAAGAAAAACAAAAAGACAAAACATAAAAATAAAAAACAAGAAATAATAAACTTTGACAAGAGAAACAACTAAAAATAAAAAGCAAATGAAAAAAATACAACCAAATTAAAATTAAATTAAATCAAATTAAATTACATCAAATGAAATGAAATGAAATGAAATTAAATTAAATTAAATAATTAAATACATGAAAGTAATATTAGAATAAAAAACAAAACAAATCAAATCCAAACAAAACCAAACAAAAAACGAATCAAATTAAAAGCAAAAACAATAAAACAAACACGACAAAAACAAATCAAAGTAATAAACAAAATAAACAAATAAATAAACAAATAAATAAACAAATAAATAAACAATATAAATAAATAAATAAATAAATAAATAAAATAAATAAAATAAAAATAAATAAAACATACAGTCCAGAGGAAGTGGGCTTAGGGCGTCGTAAACGGCTGCGATGAAATTTGCTGCTGTTTCTTTGCAGAGACAAAACTGGCCAAAAAGATAAATGCAAATTCTATAAACCCTAAAAATAAATAATAAATAAATAAATAAATAAATAAAATAATAAAACCAGCTGCTGCTGCTGCTGCTGCTGCTGCTGCTTTCACGGGTGCTGCAGCACCTGGAATGGCAGCAGCAGCTCTATTAGCTGCAGCAGCAGCAGCAGGGATGGCAGCAGCAACAGCAGGAAGTGCTTCTACAGCAGCAGCAGCAACAATGGCAATGGCACTAGCAGCAGCAGCAGCACTAGCACCATTAGTACTAGTAGCAGCAGCAGCAACAACAGTATAAGCAGCATTAACAGCAGCAACAGCAATAGCAACATTCACAGCAGCAGCAGCACGAACCACAAAAGCAGCAGCAGCAACAACAGCAGCAGTAACCACAACAGCAGCAGCAGCAGCAGCAAAGTTACTTGGCGTGTTTGGGTTCATTGATTGCTTCTGCAATATGAGAAATGATTAAAGGCCGCAAATGGGGATAATGAATAGCAGCAGACCGCAGCAGCAGCGCAGCAGCAGCAGCAGCAGCAGCAGAAGTGTCTCCCAAAAGGTCTCCGAAGCAGCTGAGAGAAGCCATCAGCGATGACGGGTACTTCAGGCAGCAGTGGGCCTAAGCAGCAGCAGCAGCAGCAGCAGCAGCAGCAGCAGCAGCAGCAGCAGCAGCAGCAGAAGCAGCAGCAGAAGCAGCACAAACAGCAAATGCAAAAGCATTTAACTAGTTCATTATTATATATTTATATATTTATATGTTCATTTATTTATTTAATTTATTTCCTATCATTTATTTATTATTTTTTATTTATTATTTTTTATTTATTTTAAATTCGTTTTCATGATTGGCTGCGAAGGAGCAAAAAGGAAAAAAGACAAAAAACAAAAAAGAAAAAAAAGATAAAGTAAATAGAGAAATATAAGGAAAGAGAAATAAAGAATAAGAAATAAATAAATAAGTAAATAAGCAAATGAATGAGTAAATAATAAATAAATAAATAAATAAATAAATAAATGGATAAGTAAATAAATAAATAAATAAATAATCAAGGGCTCACGAGTGTTTCGACAAGTGCCGTTCTATAGGCCTCATTGATTTGTCCGCTGCTGCTGCTGCTGCTGCTGCTGCTGCTGCTGCTGCTGCAGTCCTCAGTTTTGGTGATTTGTCTCCGCAGCAACTTTCCCACCTGCTCTGCTGTGTCTGCGGAGACACTTGACTTCACCAAATCCAAAATCCGCAAACGAACTTCCAAAGAATTCGTCTGCAGGCCTGCAGCAGCAGCAGCAGCAGCAGCAGCAGCAGCAAAGGCAGCAGCAGCAGCAAAGGCAGCAGCAGCAGCAAAAGCGGTGGAAAAGCAGACGTAGTAAGAGTAGCAGCAAAAGCAGCAGCATGAACAGTAACAGCCAGATTGAAGCTTGGAGGGTTTATGAGGGTTTAGAAGGGTTTATGAGGGTTTATGAGGGTTTAGAGGGACTTTTAAGGGTTTTTAAGGGTTTACAGAAGTCTATTAGGGTTTACTAGGGTTCACAAGGGTTTATTAAGATTTAGGGGAATTTGAAAAACTCAATAAGGGTTTACAGGGGTTTATTAAGGTTTATATGAAGATCCAATGTATCGCTAGGGTTTAGGGTTTAGGGTTTATCGGGGTTTAAAAGGGTTTACTAGGGTTTGCAGTGGGCCCTTGATCAAAGCTTGAAAAACTTCGGCCTAGGGTTTGAATTCTTAGGGTTTAGAGTCAGGGTTTAGGGTTAGGGTTCAGGACATGGGTTTAGAATTAGGTTTAGGGTTTAGCGTTAGGGTTTAGGGTTAGGGTTTAGGGTTTGTCGTGGGTGTGCTGCACCCCTCATGAGGTCCACAACGAAGTCTCCCAGAGGGTTTTGTTTGTTAGCTGCTGCTGCTGCAGCAGCAGCAGCAGCAGCACACTCTTTGAGCTTGTCGAGCACAATGAGTTTAATGTTGTTTTCCGTTTGCTGCAGCAGCAGCTGCAGCAGCGCTGCTGCTGCTGCTCGCAGCCGCTGCGCGTTCGGCGACAGCAGCAAAATGCATGCAGCGCCTTCGTAGGCAACAGAAGGCGGGGCCACCCGCA